AATAAAGTGACAGTAATAATAATAATAATAATAATAATAATAATAATAATAATAATAATAATAATAAAATGTCCAAACCGAATTGATGTCAATATCAGCGATGTGACCAGTGACACTTCATTTGGTACGGTATAGGAAAACGTGAACGAAGAAGAATATCCTCATAAGGGTGATCGGATCGAGCGCACATTTACTGGATGGACAATAATTGCCATTGCACGAGCAATTGAAGCATACATATTTACAGCAGAATTGAGATTTGAAATTCTGTGGACTGTTACATCTTTTCACTACTAGCGAAAAATATCTGCTCGAACATAGCCACTGGCATAAATTTTAAGCTGTTCCTGGTTACGTTAAATTATCATAAATATAAAGATGCGTAAAGGTAGGATTTATCATCAACCTTGAGCACCTGTTCACTGTTTATTTGTTGGTTCATAGATGACGGTTAGAGAAAGGGTCGGTGATTCAATACTGCATCTGAATGCCACTACTGTGTCGATGAAGTGGCGATCGCGTTCTCTAATTCTGCGTTAAACACAATCGTCGATGTGGCTGCAAAAGTTGACCAATTATAATATATTTCAGTGACTTATCACCAATAAACTATCCGAAATGGTATGAGAATTTTTCCGTTAAAGAAGTGTTTTTTTTTTTCATTTTATAGTAACATTGGTGAAAATCAGAGCATTAAGAGATTGATTTCAACAACGGTTATGCGATACCGAATGAATTTCAAAACAACGAATTAGCATAGTAACAAAGATGAGTGAAACATAGTAGGTGGGTGTTGATGCGATGTCAGCTGGCCTCATAGCCACTTACACAGCATTTCATTGCTTTCAACATGCTCATCGTATCACTGATTGTTTCCCGTTTGCTTACACTATCGATGCTTAACATTTGCGCGATATTCTCTCGATTTGCACTCAACTGTGGGTAGCTCACTAGTGGTTGAGTTCAACAATCACTCACTCCGCATGATAACGTTTTGAAAATCGTGGTGATGATATGATGAACGTCACTTCATTATCAGTAGCTAAATTTCAAAGTTGTTGTTGAGTGATTTGTCACTTTTTCTAATTGTTGCTTCTTAGTTTTTGCTCATAATCGATTCTGAATGAAATGTGAGTTGGCGATCGCTTCTAATGGTGATAATTTCGTGCTTCCGCCTGTTTAACTGCGCTACGTTATCAAACATCTGGAAGGTCAACCATGAATTTAGTCCCCATTAGGGCTTGCAGAATTTCGAAAAAAATGTTGAAAAAGAAAGGATGCATGATCGTCCACAGCCTTTCAGGCATTTCTCATCTTTACTGCTTTCACCAGTTTCATTCGGTATTACTTTTTTTTTGTGATTTTCATGATGATTCTATGTATTTTACAATAACGAAATTATTATGTGATCGTAATGAAGTAACCATAATCAGCCCACATCAGTTCCGATACAATGTTTTTGTAAGAGCTAGTGAACGGATGATGTTCTGTTGGTGTTGAGTGTTCTAACCGATCTTATCAGAACAAGAAAGTTACTAATATCAGGTGAAATTTCTATACCCAAACGGCTTTAGGTAATTGTGATGGAACTAGAAATCAAAACTTATATTCCTACTGGCTTCCTGTTTTTGTATCAACAACGCGCAAAAATATCTTTAGGTGGACCCATTTACTTGTTTCCTTGTTCGATCAATTCGCAGTTGAACCTCGATAATAATGCCAACAATAAGGTGTAATACTACATCGATAATAATAATAATAATGCTACATTCAATTATAAGAAGTCAGATTCCCATCCTTCAGTGGATTACCCCAGCGGATAATTTTTGTGTCTGTATCTGTCAGTAATAAAGAGATGTGACCAACCAGAGAAAGAGCCGAACTTAGAGATAAATGGAGACAGGAAAAAAAGAGTAATAACGTTTCAATTCCTTGCGTGTTTCTCAGTGAATAAAAACGCTGCTATTGAAGTGAAAAAGAGAGAGACAAGCGTAAAAGATAGACAAATAAGAATTTTTAAAATGTTGTTTATTTGAACAGAAACAGAAGTATTATCTGAAATTTTTATCTTCAGCTTTCTAACATCATATCAGCAGCTATTCAGGAAGCGCCTCATCGAATAGCATCCACACCATGACTTATTGCTGCATATGCATGCTTGAAGTACATGTGCGGAATAGTCTTTTTTGCTAAGCATTTCTGAAGCGTGGTCTACTCGTGAAGTAAGTCGTGTAACGAGTTGACTTCATTTGTAAATGAGTGTTCATGATGTGCCGTTTGCGATGGAATGAAAGCAATCCAATTGGCTTTGAATGTTCCGTTAGCGTAATGAAATGAAAACAACACAATTGTTTTCGAATGTTCCGTTAACGTAATAGAATTAAATGAAAATACAGCATGAATCAACAACAACAGAATTGATGCATCAATCATTGAATATGTGAGTTGCAATGTGCGTTGTATTTATAGAGTGTAAATTATTTGCTTGAATACGAACACTGCTTATCGATGAATGCTTCAATCACTGATCGCAATACTGAGGTAAACACTTTTAAATGCGCCTATTTCATCGCTCACACTATTTGATTGCCACAACTCTGAGCAACTGACCAATTTTATTGAACTGAACCACGTTTAGCACAGTTACTCAAGGCAAGCTTTTATGAACCATGAACCACCACACAAAGCGATGAGCATTCACGATCCAACTTTTAAAAACCGAGTGAAAATTTAAGGGATGGATAAATCATATTTATGAATCTTTTGAAAGTTAAGTAGTCTATGAAAAAAACATTTAATGGATTTCATTTGATCATTCACTTAAAACCAGAACAAAATTCTGTGTGTCATAGATAAAACAACGTCCTTTTTTTTTGATAACATCTTCTTGTTGAAGAATTTCACACGACTTGCTTGAATTGTACTAGTGATTGACCATTGGGACCATTGGGAGAAACACTGTTGGGAACTAATGAAACAATTACATTAGTTCAGAATGATAACTGCTAGTATCTCATAAAGATCCCCAATATTTTGTGGGGTATCACACTCAGCTTATCAATATGCTCAGAAATCACTGATACGTTTTAAGCGATCCATAATTTCTTGACAAGAAATGATCTGAGCTCTCATCCACATAAAAAGGTCAGTCCACGAACAAATATTTACAGCTAAATGAAACACTGGTTACGTAACAAGTCTAGTAGTGTTATCACTTAACAGCACTGAAAAATACACGTTACAACACCAATCTGACACTTCATTTTTAACGTTTTTGCTTCTGATGAGCATTTTTCGTCATTCTGTTTGAACAAATTCAAGTTTTCTTCGGATGCAAACTGTTGATATGTTCAAGTGTTAGCATGATAGCAAAAATGAGTTAGTGAAATGCTCATCATTATAACACTACCATACTTTTTACGAATGTTCTTCACAGAAGTCACTCACAACACTTCCTTTCTTCCATCATTTTTCATACTCTACTGTGCTTTTCATTGTTGATCGGCCAAGTATAGTGCCCTCTTAGCAAATATTCATTCTTATACAAATCCAATCGCACTTATTCTTAAATTGCATTATCCAAATTTTGTACGAGGGGTATTCTTCATTGTTGGGATGATTGATTTCGGCGAAATTTCCATTTTCATCTGAATGTGAGTTCATTTTGGATGTTAATTGCGTGGCTCTCAGCGAAAAAATCCATTATTTTCACGATGAACGATATCATCGAATGTGAAATTTCTAAACGGCTTCGCATTACCACGCTGCCTTGCATTTAGAAAAATAAAATGACATGCTTCGGTTGCATAATCATAATTCTTTGACATTTAATAAAGTCATTCATTCGCCCACTGTTTACTAATTCAATTGGTTCAACTTAATTATGAAGCAATCTCAAGAAAGTACATATTGTCGTTAATTGCTTCTAGAAAAGAATTGCAATAATTCAAGAAACAATATTCGCTGATGGCAACCATATACAGAAAAGTGTGACGAGCTGTTAATAATTGATCATCATATAAATCCTTATTTGAAGGACATCAATAAGTAATCATATTGCGGCGCAGCTGCTTATGATAGGATGCGCTTGAAATCTTAATTCATTTATATTCATAAAGTTACGTGAACTGAACGAGCTGTTGCAAGACAGTGATTTGAATGCGCATGTGGCATATTACAATCTTATCTATCGTTATAATTAACACTTCTATAGCTGATCGTTTTTGTGCGATCGTTTCCATCCATAACGAATATTTCGAGCCTGATCATTATTGTCTTTTTGATGCAGTCGTTCGCCTATTAGTAGAACTGATCTTTACTGATTTGTATCAGCGAAACACTTCAGGTTGGATACATTATAATGTTGCGATTGAGTTGCTTTTTGAAGTGACTGAAATCTTCTCTCATGAACTCACAAATGTTTTCAACAAGTTTTTTCTTTCTAAATTGTCTCATTAAATCGAGTGATAACAGCAAATTAGTAAATGGCTCGTTACCATCATCGCATCATGCATATGTCAAGAGAAGCAATTTCACCATCATACCTGATCTTTCATACTCCGATATTCAACAGTCTATTAATATCGCACTGATTTCTCGTTTATACTAGCGTGCTAGTGGCTGTCGAATTTTTTAGCATATCGGCTTTCTCAGTACAACATTCCTTTTTGTATCTGCACTGTTTTCTCTTAGCAAAGGTCTACATACACGTGCCACTGTAATATTTCTGATCTTCGACAATATTAAAGTCATCTGACGATGTTTCGAACGTTGTCACATATCGGTGTTCTCGCACGTGTTCATTGAAATGAAGGTATCACATGTACGTATGATAAGGCTATTCGACAGTTCTTGCAAAAAATTATCGATGGCGTATTGCGTCCTTGAATTCCTTGTTTCTTTTAACGTGTTTTTTCAGGAATGAATCATTTGAAACACTTTCTTATTCTATTGCTATTTTGTCGTTCAACTAAATTGCATAAAGTGCCGTATGGTCAGAATTTGATTGTGCTGCTAATCGATGGGTTCGGTAGTTCATTGCTCAATCAAAGCAACATCGAATTCTTTGGATTCAAATATTTGATGCAGAATGGTGCCCACACTGAATATCTGAAGCCAACTTATCCAACTCAAAGTTATCCAAATTGGATGAGCCTCATTTCAGGTATTCATCGATGTTCTTGAACAAACTGAACACTGAACTTAAATAGTTGATTGACGGCCACTGATTTGCTTTTGTTCCATTTCAGTAGTAATAATTAACCAAGAAAACGAACTGATCGATTCTCCGCTTATGAGATCGGCAAAAAATTTCAGCTCGAACTCTGTTCAACTTTTATTGATGATGCAAAACTTATGTTATTGATTCGAATGCTATTTGTATTTATACGTTCAAATGTTAATTCAACAAAAACTGAAACGAGTTACAACATTGACACTGAAAATTGATGAGTTGCAGCTATCGACGACCACTGCTGTTGTAGTTTTGCTTTTTTCTGTTATTCCTGTTATCAGGTTTCTTTACTTTGGAAGCTGTTACCATTTCTATCTCCAAATTGTCAATAAATGGCTTTGACTGCTGAGGTTGATAGTAAGAGCGAGAGTAACTACTGAAAAATTATTTAACGATTATTCATAATGATGATTCGAGTAAGAATGATAAACATTCGTATGGATATAAGTCGTTTTCTGTTGAGTAGATTCATATGGCTTGGCAACGTTTTTGCTCGTTAGCGTAGACTGTCGGAACAATAGCTGAGTTACAACTATCTTGCGAAGGAAAATCAATCGCTGCAACAACCGTTTTTGTTGTGCTGAGCAAAGCTACAGATGATAAGCTGAATGCAAACAAATCTTAAAACTATGTTTTGAATTGTATGTTCTAGACAGCTTTGACATGATAACATTCATTGGTGCAATCAATACATATCAGCTGTAAGCTATGATAAGTGTTTTCGGAAGAATAAACGATTGTTCTGATTCTTGGAACCGTTTTTTAAACGGTATGAAACCCTTTGCACTCAACATCGCATTCACTGAATGCATTCAAGGTCTTTATGCTGAGAACAACGGATTCACGGCCGATTACATGTGGGATGAAAAGAGTGAAAGTGGATTCTATAGAGGCGAAAATTCGAACGATACGGCTCGAATTTGGTGGGGTGATAGACCAGCACCGCTATGGTATACAGCAGGAAAAGAGAATGTTGATGTGCATTGCTACTGGATCGCTGGCTGCCATGTGAGCTTGTCATATTATCACACATAAATAAACATCCGCTGCTCAATTGAACCTTCTTGCAAAACCAATGCGGTCTGATAAATCTCATTCCATCTGATATTTACGACATCCCAACGATCCAGCATTTCATCCTTTATCCTTTGTTTACAGCCGTGCCATTCAATACAGCTTAACTTCCGCTATCTTATAACGTCCAGATTTGAAATGTAATATTTATGAGGACTGCCAAATCAACAATATCTTGACGCTTTAGCTTGAGCTTAGTTTATAGATAAAAAGCGGAGTGAGCTTCTGTGGTTTCGGTTCTACGGATGCTTATCGTTAGTATCATTGTTTCAAATGTCTCGAGCTTGAAACCATCTGGAGTTTGAGATTCTAAGTAGGATCTCTAATATCGTAAACAGTCCTTTAAATTGGCAGTCAGCTGGCAAACTTGCTTTTATTTCATGCTGTTTTTGAGTTCTTATCTGCTCTGAACTCGTTTAGTTAACATTGCTTCTAGTTCCAGTGGCAAGTATTACTTCGAAGAACTGCTTATTAAATGAGTTACTAAACTTAAGCCTCTTCCACCTTCCGCTAAGGATAATCTGTGAATTACAGTTACCGTATGTCGACATGATTGTCCAAGTTCCTCAAACTCGTAAATTCAATGCATCGATTAGTGAACAGACCGAATCACTTCCAACTCACTTCATAGAAATGGTAGAGCGAATAACCAGGTATCAAGCATACAAGCAACAGGTGAGATCCTTGAGGTTATGTGTAATATTGCAATCATATTTTCAAGAAATATAGAGAGTGACATTCCACTGTTTGTTAAAATTTTAATTCGGCCGTACATCTGAGCTTCATGTATTCTTGAACCAAGCAGCACATATTAAACGGATGCTATCATATTAGCAAATTCGTAAGATTTTTTGAGCCTAAAATTCACTTTTTACAGTTATTTCTTGTTCGGTATGCGGGTGTCGAAAGTGCTTTGCGACTGTTCGGTTCACATAGTGATGAAGCAAAACAAGCGCTTTCCCGAGCTGACCTTTATGTGCATGACCTTCAGGTACATTATCCATTCAAAAAGATCGGGCTCTATTGTGCCTAGTGCATTCAGGAATTTATCCTATGAATCTGATTCATCAAATAATAACATGTCTTTTTGTTACTCACTACCACATGTTCAAGTCCTCGGTGCATTAGTTCACTAACATTATTAGTATGAAGCGTAATGCATCAACGGCTTTTCCCATTCATCACGTGAACTTTAGCAAAAGTTGGAAGAAAAAGGTTTGTTCGAATCAACAAATCTCATTGTGCTTTCTGATCACGGCTTGCACTCTATCGATATCGAAGAGCAGTTCTTCATCGAAGAATGCTTAGCTGATTTTTCAAAGATCACGAAAGTTGTCAATTCACATTCGATGATGATGGTATTCACTGATCCCAACGAACTCGATGAGGTTCGGAAGTACTCTCATTATGCGAAACTTATCAACATTTTTTTATCGCAGAAGTCTTGAATTTTTATTGAATAATTTCAGTAGGGGTATTATTCTTCAAGCAGAATTATATTTTCATTTATCCTACAAACAAGGTGCAAAGATAATGTTGTTGGGTGCTAATCTTCATCAATTTCCCATTTTCGAGTATACCTACATAATAAATTCGTTTTTGGCGGAGTAAAAGTCGTCATCGCCATCTATTTTCACTTCCATAAGAGTTCCTAATAGTTTTAGAAGTTATCTGTAGCAGAAAAATGCAACTTATCAAACAAGTTTATTCATTTCATTGGAACGACAGATAAGCAAATACTTGACAAAGTTAAACTTCTGATTGTGATGTACTATTTTTTGTTACTACGTTGCTATAGGCTACTACGTTCGTTTGTAGCGCTCTGATACTAATTTCTGTTATAGATCTTCTTCGAGTTAAAAGTTTGCGATCAATGGGCACCAATGGGGGATTACGATGAGGGTGATAATCCATTGGTGAGCGTCTATCGAACATCTGAATTACCCGAGAAGTTTCACTGGAAAAATTCCAAATATATGCCGGGAATAATTATCCTAACAAAACCTGGAGCAACAGTTCTTACGGTCAGGTATTTGCATTGGATGCGTTTTTGCTATTAGGCTAACTGATGAATACCTATGAATTACTTCGTTTAATACAGTTTACTAATACGGCGACGTGCAGAATCACAACGAAACACCTGGAGAATCATTTGTGAACTTTTGGTTATAATCGCAATATAATGCATGTGTTAAAACGATAGAGGCAGATCAACAGCAATTATTTTTTTGTGATTTCCCTATTAAATTCTTTAATGCATCACATCACAATCCATCGTCATGAGAATAAAAACTCTGGTGTATATGTATTGCAACTATATACGGTTTTCAGAGAGAGCTTCCATCAATTCCGATTAGTGATGAGCATTCGAGAGATATTAGACAAACCGGTGGATGGGACAATGACAACCCTGAAATGCGAGGCATCTTCATAGCAAGAGGACCTGGTAGCGAACATTTTTCTGTACTTTTACATTCATTTTAGCTCTAAATTGAATGAGTTTTGAACACAACAATTTGCCGACCCTATCAATGGTGAATTTAGCTCAAGTGATCTGAACTAGTGGTTGATACGGAGCAAATTTACCAGAAAATTGTGGAAAGGTGTTAGTAGTTGTGTCGAATACGCTTTTATTAATATTTCGTCATTTCTTCGTTTATCCAGCATTTATGTGAATCTGGGAAATAATTTACTTGGTAACCACAGTCTGCCATCAATGCTTTTTTGATGAGTCCGTGCATTCATCAAGAAACTATGGTTGAATTGACAATTTTCCTTAACAGATCTGCGTTTTCCCGTGTCATTAGTCAATTAATTTGGCCCAAACAATTATAGTTACCCATAATCAGTGAACATTTTTGGAGACGAAAAAGAGAAAGGACTGCTTCCAAGTCTATGAATACACGTGATTTTTTGATTGGAGAGTGAACATGAACATAATTTTTCAGTATTTTCATTTGTAATTTCCACCTATCTGATATCTCTAATTAAAAATGTTCACATTTGCAGCATTCAAAATCAATCACACATCTCCGCCAATCAATATGGTCGATGTTTATCAGGTATGCTTCGACAATAGCGTCGTCTAGATAGTCAATTTTGTCGAATTTCAATATTCAGTGACGGAAGTTCTCTTCGATGCATTGTCATTCTGTTCCAGTCATTGACGTTATGTTCTTCTCACTCAACGAATCATACAAAACCTTGGGTAGATTCGCTCATGCCTATATAGTTTGTGAGGAAAATAGCTTTAAAGGACAATATGCATCATGTTGGAAAAAACACTGCACTGACTATGGACGATAAGTTATACTTTACTAATGGAGGGTACAAAATTTATGATTTTGCATATCTTGGTCATGTAGATGCAATAACTGGAAAGATTTTTGTAATCGTATTGAATGTAAAATATGCTATGCGATGTGACCACCAGAGAATATATGATAGCTGGGTGCATTTTCGGTTAGGGAGATATGCTTCAGATTCAGATTTAGCAGTGTTTGGTTTATTGCATCAACACTGCAACCATAAGCCTGTGTAAAACTGTATTTCATCGTATGTCTATTTCGCGCAAACATTCTCAAAAATATTGTTTGCCGAAGAAGAGAGCAGTAATCTATCAACTTTTTCTGAGGTCTTAATTAATATATTTTGAATCATTTCAAATATGGTATGTTTTATTCATCGAACATTTTGTCAGCTTTCGAAATGTTCAGGTACTGCTCAATATTCTTGGCATTGAAGCACCTCATCGTCATAACGGATCATGGTCAAATGTTGAAGATCTCTTAAGTGGCGGATGGGAATCAAGGACGTCTCCACACTCCACCTCGAACGGTTCATCAGCATTACGATCGCTTTCTTGCTTGCTGTTATTTTTCTCTTTATCACTGTATAATTTTGCTTTGTAAATTTGTTCAATTACTTAATCACTGCCAACCTCGAAGTTGTTTGAACGAGGCTGCTCCGAAGCGAGATGGTAGAGTTGTATTTTCATTGATCACGAATAACTTTAATTTCATAATCCCTTTGATGTTCATAGTGATTCTCAAGATGTAAAAGTTGATTATTAACTTCAACGAATTTACATGAGCCTTATTTCCATCTATAGGACTGCCAATTAATTGTGAAAACCGGAAGCACTTTTCTGTGTGACCTTTCTGAAGATTATCATTTTTAACCATCATATTCTTGACAGTGAGCTTAGAAAAACTAACTGCATAATATACAGTGATAAAGTCTACATTGGATTGAATCGAGAACGGTGCTAAATGAATGTGATTTACGCATTTCTGCCTGCTGTATCATGCAACTGGATTGCTGGGTTTTTGTTCTATATTTATTTTCACTGTAACAGTGAGATGGCTGAAAGGCAAGAGTGCTTATCAATGCTCTTAATAAGTTAATATTCACTGACTTTTGTAAAAAAGATCACGATTAAGCTATTATGGAGCAATTGTTCCAGTGCGATTTCAAAACTATACAGTCAGGCATTTTGGAAAATTGCAACAGATCAGAAGACATGAACAAGCGTTATGAAAACGAATGGACGGTACCCGGTCAATCTGCCTAAAGACATTTTGCCTAACGACAGTTTGCCCAAAGACACATTGCCTAACGGACAGTTTACCTAACTTACGCTTTTCAATGGATATTTCGCCTAATAAGGAAAGTGTTCCTTCGGCAAACTGTCCGTTAGGCAATGTGTCTTTAGGCAAACTATCGTTAGGCAAAACGTCTTTAGGCAGATTGACCGGTCATGGAATGAACGACTCTAAGCACCAATGTTATCAGCCATTTCACTGGATGATCGTATCCTCTTTCCACTGTACGACTTTCTATCTTGAAGTGTTTATTTTATTTCCTTGCATCAGCTGTTTATAGCGGTGCACATATTGCTCATGAATAATGGTCGTTCACTAACTTCAAATTATGTACATAAATATTTCAAGAAGAACAATAAAATAGACACTTCAAACATGTACGTCCTCGTAATTACATTTATCGATAGGTAGCAGTGATGAAAGATTTATGCAGCCAAACGCATAATGTTCCAGAATTTCACTGACATGGTCGTTGGTGAATTTGAAAGAACTCTGTTCGTGTATGGGTTGCGTCGCATTTGATCACTTCTTGGGTGATACTCCTTCAGCTACATTCGTTTCGTTTCACTTGCTTCATGAAGTGATGTATTTGAGGCTATTGTGAATAATTTTTCGAATGCTGCTCGCAAGCCGTATGGTTTGCTTCAACGCCAAATCCTTATTCACGAAACTCTCAAATGCAGCAATGCACTGAAGTGGACTTTCACTGTGGCGCAATGAACAAGTTAATTGTTTCGGCATCAGAGAAGCAAGCAATGTGCGACCGAGTGCATTAATTCCACCTTGATTTCTTATGACCTAAATGGAACTTTGATTCGATGGATACACATGTAAGAATGAAATCATGAAGAATGCTTGGCAACATAAACAGGCTATTTTATTATTTTACAGTCAATTTTATGAGTGCTTTTCACATCATCTTTCGAGACGAATCGATTTTTTCATCCAAATTCTCAAAGCATTGAACACTTCTAAACACGTGCGAAATAGTGGAAAATTTGATGGAATAGTTGCCGTTCAATCTAACTTTATGTTATTGTGATTTTAATTGATTTAAATGAGCGCGTATGGTGCCAAGTGGTATTGCAGTTATCAACAACTTGAGATGACAGTTAAGTCAATCAATATTAATTATCCTCGTTTGTAGGTCGACATTTTTGATCCTGATTGTTATATGCCTATCAATTAACCTAATCATCGCCATAAGTTTATCGTATCACGTTGTCTGCTGATGATTAGCAAAAGAAATAAATTTTTAAAATTTGAAATGATTTCACACCTCGTGATCTACGACCTTTACTGTGACCATTAAATAAGTTGAGTCTTCGATTGTCGCATAACATATTTTCATAGCTTGATTGCTGCTCACAGTAGATTCAGTATTGATTATTTCATGCAGACAGTCATATTTCTCTGAAAAAGAGAAGATTTAAATTCAAACATTTAAAAAAGTCTCTATTATCCCATGGAAAAACCCTAAGTATGAACAATGAATGGTTGAGTTTATGATATTATAATAAGTACTGGAATTGCATTATATAAGAAGATCGGTAGCTATTCGCATAAACTGACGAATGCACGAGAACTGTATATTCGGTGACAACTCTTTATGTTTCTTGAATTTCCTTCTAATACTACAAATTTTCTCGCAACATTTGTTGCTCATGATCAACAGCAACGCGGTTCATCAGTAGTTCACTGACTTACTATTAGTTTTTGATTTTTCAATTGGGGAAGCATTTGATTACGGAACGATCTAAATCCAATGGTTTCCAGAGAAATTAAAATCCCTCCTAGTGGAGAATTTGAAGGAGGTGAGGGGAAACGTAATGTTTGGCAGATCATTTGAGGGACTTCTTGATTCTTTTAAATATTTCCTTCATAAATGTTCAACAATTCTTTTCAAAATACGTATTTCCTCGCAAGACATTGATTACACGGACGAATTCTTGACAAAAAACCTCTCGCTTATTGGGTCAATTTCTTGATTTTCTTTTCATTTGTCATCAATATGTAACAGATCGCCAAACAAGGTAGAATGGCGGCCACGTAGATTGTTGGAAGAAGGAATGGTGGCCTATGATATAGCCAGAAGAAGGAATGAAGCGTAAAGATGTGAGAACTACTGATCTGATCGATCAAAGATGGCTTTTGGAACTTTGTAATCGATGAAATTCAGGGTAACAGTATGAACATTGGCCATCGTAGCACTGGATGAGAAATATGGACTGAAAAGAAAAGCATCAAAAAACGTTCGACCTGGAATGAAAGTTAGTCGAACACTTCTTTCACTCATAACGCAGGAATATGCGATCATATCGAGTTTGTGCAGTGAAGGTATGAGAATGTTTCTTGAATTTAAATTAAGCGAAGTATTTGAGAGAATCTTAAATGTATGCCTTGATAAGAACTTTCTGACAGATTCCGATAAATTTTTGAGATAAATAGTCTTGGCATTATGTAACGATTTCATGCAAATTTCCATGAATATGCTCTTCAAATGATGCTTGAAATAATTTATCGTCGAATGCAGTTTGCACAATCGTTTTTCCGGGCTAATTTCTTGTTTCCGTTGTCGTTCACGTTCGCAGCTATGTGCATTTGATGCAAATGGCCACATCAGCCTCCTTATTGCTCTGCGGCTTAGAGAATTACTTTTCGACTGCTTTGGGTGGCGAATTTGTTTCCATTTTTGATTGTTCGCTACTTCAGAAAGTTCACTTCTTATTCCATGCCATAGTTTCTGTAACGGATATGCTTTTATCAGAGTACATACTGCTTTCGAGAAATACAGTAATCGGCTCGTATCATAATGAAGTCAGTACTTTATGATGCAATTATGGATCGAGGAGATTTCATTTGCAACAAAATCCATAAGTTCTCTTCTGTGACGTACTAAATTAATGAATCCAAAGTTGATCCAAAGTACTTCGTCTGGAAATGTTCGGTGCAACGATGTTTTAATGTGCCGATAACCACAAAAATGTGACAACAGATAAGATATTGACCCAGACGAAATGATTTGTTGTATCGATGTTCCGAAGAAAGGTTGTATCGCACGAGCGAAATTGAGCTCTTTTATCAAATGAAATTTCGCTTAGTGTTGCACATAAATAATCGATTTCGTCTTCAATCATCGCAATATTATCGCCAATTAAGTATTTTGTGCATAATTTGCTGATCAAACATCTCAAACGATCCAAAACAATCGCATATTCGGCTCTCTTCACACACACGATGACAGCATTGTTGATATGATGAACTACAAATAGGTTGTTCAAGAATCGTCTCTGTCCATTACTTACCCACACCTGTAATCGTCAGTTCATTCACTTTTAAACTAGATCAAACACAGCAAATATTTTTCACAATATGTTCATGGTTGTCCATTTTTTAATGATTGAATTAAGTAGCTGTTTAAGCGGATAATTTTCACATATAACCACTCGAAAAGAACTCATTCGAAAATTGGTTTGTCTTTTATCAACAACGATCCAAACGAACTTCAGTATGTTACTGGGCAAAGCTGAGAACACACTAGGCTTAAATATATCAAACCTATGCTTCTATAGTAATGTATAATATCTGTTGATCTATACAGATACAATGCATATCAATGAGCACCATTGCGCTAATTGAGATAGCTTTAATAGAATAGCTATATCTCCTCAACTAAGCGTTCACTCCATCGCGCACTAGACCAACCAGCATAGATATGTTACAGATCGAAATACATCTCGCACACGTGAGACTGCATCAAATTCTAAACAACACACCAACAAAAACACGCATCATTCAACAAATAAAGATTGATTGTTTAAAATTGATAGTTTTTGCTTTGTGGAGTGTTATACTGAATAATGCTAAACTACCTGATGAACGCTTTCACCTGATAACGAACCATCAGCGTCTATCAGATCAGTCCAATTCACAACTTCTGCCGTCATCCGCAGGTTAAGATACTTTCTTTCATCCTCCATACCCACCTGTTTAATACCCATGAACCTCCGCTCAACGAATAACAGACAGCTGAAAAGATTTCATCCAATCGAAAAATAAAAATGCATCCCTTCAAAAATTATGTGAATGACATGATCAATTAAACAAAATGCACTGAAATTTTTATGGTCAATTCTCAGACGTTAAAAAGCTTGATAGAATGAATGTAATCACCTAATAGGGCCCATTGAGGCATACAGTTCTTTTGACAACGTATCCAACTGTGGCATATTCCTGTGGACATCGTCTCCTTCCAGAACATAATTTGTGATATCAAGTTCAACGTTCCTACGCCTATTGAATTCTAAATTCATCATACCAGTACTGCAGAGCTCGCAAGAAGGTTTCTACTACCAAGTCACCATGAACGATATGATATCACATAAGCAATCATTTCAGTAAGTCGCGAAATCCTAAACCGCTTGCATATAAATGAACCATAGAAATTTTTTGCATCTAAATATCATGTCTTCAATCTATTCATATACTACTGGATGGTGAAAATTCAAGTGTCCTAGTGGTAGTTATGTTCGAAACCGGAAGCAATAAACGAAGAGGAAGTTTACGTTTGCATTGGTTAAGGTGCGGACTGCTGAATGCTCTGACTGCTTCCATAATGACCGACTCGAACCGATGTTTTATGATTGCAGTCGAATTCACTACGACTGCTGAATTACTGAGCAGAGGTCCGTGGTGAAAATTGATTATTTTCTGTACAATTTCGGTAAGTTGTTTGATCCATGTTGCGTCACTGCAATGCAAGTATGGTAATGCTTATTTTGGAAGACCAATTAATCAACCATCGGGCTGAATTACTGTCTGATGCAGTGAGTAAAAGTAGCTACCTTTGTAAATATCAATGAGTCTCAGATTCATTCAGAGAAATAAATATTTTTGCACAGCTTACATTTCTGATACGATTATGATCAGTGAAGAATCCTCGAGTGATACGAATGAAATTCTTAATTGAGATGATTCAATTGATTGTTGAGGATCACCCAAAACGTCAGCAGTCATTCGATAAATTGAGATAAGAGGAAGAAACAAAGTCCCCAGTTCGAACCTACTCCTTTCCTGCAGTATATTTCATATTGAGTAAGATAGATCCCGGAAAGACACCCGATTGAAATTTGACCTAGAATTGGAGTGCTCTCAAATAAACCAACAAATATTGCAAGCAACAAATATTGGAAGAACAGTTCCGTTTAAGATACACTCACAGAATGGATCAATGAAACAGTTGTTTCCAACTGGTGCTTGAGTTCACATTCAGGTGTGCATCTTCCATGTTCGAAACTGCTTCCATCCGAATACACACCACTACTCGTCGATGCACAGAGTCGATCTGAGATGAGAGCAATTCTCGAATTCTTTGTCATCTGCGAAGACAACTCAGGGTTACCATATGCATATAAAAGTTCGTTTGAAGCACTGAACACAAAAACGCCCAGCATTTTAACCTGCAAATTTATGCATTAACATTTTCTATTTTAGAATATATCGTTACTTATCGTTAGAACTACCAAAAAAACGGATAGCATAAAAAGTTATTTGTTGATTGTATTGATATCAAGATGAACTTTTGTAAAGCATGCAAGCAAAAACATGAGCGGATGAACACGACCCAATTTATTTCGATATCAATCGGCTTTGGGCAATAGATTTGTGCTGGTGTAGCCTCTTCGAATACTCGGAAATTACATTACGATGCTTCAAGAAAGTCTGTCTTTTTCCGGCAACTTTATAACATGATTCTTGCAATTAATTTGTGAACTTCTTGCATGGTTCAGTAATGAGCACAGTTGGTGGGCCAGAAATAATGTTTCTGATAAAGCCCTCACAAGTGGGCATTCGCACACTTTAAAACCATAAGATGACTTGCTTTTCATCCTTCGATGACAACTGGAATGATAAGAAACAAGGTAGGGAGTAAATGCTTTTATGAACAAGTAATAGCAATAACATATACATGAAAATATAAACACGGTGTGAATGAAAGCGACGATATGACGCCATAAAATAATAGGACAGTAGAAGGAACGGGAAGTGATATGAAACTAGCGATGGTTAACTACGAAATATAGTAAGAGGTTATACGTGAATTATCAAACAGTAAGCACATGATGAACAGGTCATTAAAAACTATAAGCATTATAACTGCATTCATAAATGCGTTATCATGTGAAATCATACAATGCATCGGAAATGGCCTCGTGCTGTTATCTCAATGATGTTGATTTGTGGTGTCGAATAACGTCAACACAAACTGACGAGAATTGATAATAATTACGTGTAAACATCTCTTTCTTATCATCCATCATTTCAATGTATGAACATTACTTACTTCACTCGAGAACGCAATTGCAACCGATGATTCATTTCAAATTATTTATATCAAAATTATCAAATTATTCATTTCAAATTCAAATTATGATTCATTTCAAAATTCATTTCAAATTTCGTTATAGTTGAAGTTTACATCAGAACTAGCACAACATTTTGCATTTACGCTTAAATTCAACACCAACTTTCAACCGAGAATAGCACTCATCAACATACGCTTGAAAACTGTGTGCCACTCAAAGAATTCTGAACCTAATGCAAAAATAAATGTAACAGTAATCAAATTCAGCGAAGAACGTATCACACACAGTGAGATGCGCTTATCAACACATTCGTTTGGTGAATTACGTTGCTGACAATATGACTGAAAATTCAAGAGAAGTTATCATCTTAAACTACAATTAGCAGCATACAAAAGATATCTTTAACTGATATAGCAAGAACAAAATTTGCGTAACATATTTTTTTCCTCTAAGGCAGGTTTTTATTATATTGTTTATTATATTGGACGATTGTATTGATCGAACACACATTCGAGTGGAGTGATTATATGTCGAAAAATAATGATGGTATTATAATATTGGTTGGTCAGTAGCAGCTGCATATCTCGTAGTATTTTCAATCGAACCAGTTCTGAAATCCAAAACTATAAGTGAACCTTATTTTACAATCAAAAAAGATTTCATTATCAGTCACTTCAACGACTGGATTATTCCAAACACACACTTGGTTAAAGTGACTGGAACGGCAGATTTTTGGTCTGATAACTGCCGAAGATCGAAATCCGACGATGAATGATGAATACATAAAATATCAATAGAGCTGAACGTCAATTTTTTGGTTATTAATCACATTGCAAAAAAATAAGGTACATCTTTGTTCATGTGCGTAGCTGCAGACTCAAATTGAAGAAAACGGATATCCTCTGGTTTGTAATGGTGCACTTCTGCTGGACGAATGTTTCTCCATGCTTCCTAAAGCAAAATTCATTGCTACTCGTAAACGAATTGCAGTACAAGAATGACCACTCACCATGTAAAATGTGTAAACTATGTAAAATCAACTTGAGAGAAACGGAGTGATAACAAGAAAAGGACATTGTTCAAATCTGAATCAGATGAACAGTATAAATGAGAATGATATGTAATCATTCATAAAGTGTAACTTAATGCAGCAAAACTACAGAAATTTTGAAATATCCAAATCCACATCGGGCAGAAATGTGCTCACTTTGCGTTCACGACGAACGAGGTACTTTGGTCTGAACGCTATCATTCTACTCGGTCTGCGACGCCCACTTTCATCGATCGGTGGATACTATAAGATCTATCTTAATTTCATAATTCACAATATTTTATTGTGTGGCTCCAGTGAATACTCTGGAAACGCTACATGAAGCGGTGAGTAAAATGATCGATAAGCTTGAAATTTCGTTCAATCCAAGAAACTGTGAGGGGTATCACTTTCCGGAAGTATAGCGAATCCAGAGCCGAACTATCTGAGGTTAGTTAGTTAAATCATCTTTCATTTACTCATTTCAGCGCAAAATACTGCGAAACAATCTTGTTGTTTATTACGTGTATGCCAATGACTAAATAAGTGTTAAAATGACCATTCGTGATGAGTGAAGGCCAAATAATTCTCTTCTGCGTCTCTGCTAAAAAGTACGCATGATGTGAAAAAGATTAGAAAAGAATCAATGAATTAGAAAGTTCAAGGTGCTATTGTTGGCATGTCTCATTTGATTGTTTCATTTTATGACAGTTTTAAATTTCTATCATATGACTGATTAGTTTCGTATATTCTTATGCATATTTCACATTCAAAACGGATGAAATTGAGATGAAATCCATTCTGTGTAAGGCAAGCGTCGTAAAAGAGTGACCGAGTAGACTTCCAACTTTTTCCAAATTCAAAGTTTACTTAGACCTCCGCAAGTAGTAACACTTACTGATGGCGTCTCTTTGAAGTGTCTATCTACAGCAACTTTTTGTTTCTCACTGAGTGCTTGCTGCTCGCCATCGTTCAGCTAAACAAAGCTATTCATAAGATAAATCGACAACATTTTGGGTGTGCGCGTAACATTTTTTCGGGTAACATACACTATTTCTGTCGACGAAATACAGTGGAAGAATATGAAGGCGGTGACGAAAGCGTTCGTTTCGGCAATTTGGGAGGGTGGAAAGCTGTTACTCGCAATTCCTTACTGGGAGAAATAACATACAGCACTGAAACTAATGCGATTAAGAAACGAGATTTTATCGATGTGCACTCAAAATTCCTGTAAAAGCTGCAAGCATTCATTCCAAGAAAATTGAATGTTCAATTGAATCTCACTTCTTGGGCACGTACAAGTTGCCTCCGTCCTCGATGCACATCCCTCTGAAACAGTACTCCAATCATATCGCATAATGAACGTTTCATTGATATGATGAGCAGAACTCGAAAAAACTGCTTCTTCAATGGATCGATAGTGTTCATTGCAATGAAAAAGCTTTCATAATATTACGCATGATTCGTATAGGAAATTGTACGTGATTGATGAATGAATGATAACCATTCTATGCAATTGATTATGTTTACGCCGTCTTGCACGCGTGTGTTCGTCAATCTTCTGCAAGCAGAAACACTTTTTTTAAAATTAGAATAAAACATCACTAACCAAATTAGTTCACAGCACTATTTTTGTCAATAAATGTCGACATAAACAGTTTGGATGTATGATCAACTTGATAGCTTTCAATGAACCACGACGCTCGCACAGCGTTCGGAACGATTTTTTGCTTAATTCAATCACGAATATTTCTAACCACTTCCACTTTATCGCTCGTCTGGGTTCTACGTAATCTAAGCAAGGTTTTTCCTCCTTTCGCTACAGTTGTTTCGTTTTTTTCCGCCTTATCATCTTTATCATCCTCCTCACTACTGCTACTATCTTTGCCTTTCTTTTCGCCTTCACGATGATCTCTTTCATGTTCTGAAATTTATCACAACGAATCATGAGTGCAGTTCATCTTTTGCAAACAAATTTTATCGGTTACCTAATTTCTAAATGTTCGAATTGAAAAACTGCTGAAATCTCTACTCGTTGTCAGCAGTTTTCATCGCTCTAATTCTTCAGAGTGAAGGCTTTATGAGAGTGGTTCATTTTAATAATGTAAAATCGGTCGGATTTTCTCAACTAATTCTCACAAAACATTATTTACGATTTACAAATATCTTTTTTTACCAAGAATGTCATGTTTGAAATTTGACAATCATGAACGAAATTGAATGCGTTCTTTTGAATTGATTCACTGGATATATTCGAATGACAAAAAAGCAAAATCAAGAATGTGTTGGTGTGCACGTATCATGGAGATTGGCAATGCCCAACAGTCTACCTCGATCGGCATGTTCTCTCTTATCGTCCTCATCCTTTTTTCTTCTCGATTCTGAAACAATCATTAACTGTTAATATCATCTAATGGCTGTGTTATCGCACTTATCCAACACCAACTTTCTGAGTTTTTTGATACGTTGACAGTCAATGCACCAACCTGAAGCACTATCTTCTTGTTGAGAGCTATCAGAGATTGTTTCACTTCTTTGCCTGTCCTTTTTCCTCTTACTGCTGCTGCTTCGTCCTGACTCAACGATTACTATGCCAATCAATAAAACAGTGAACAAGATCCATAGACGCATCGTTTTTGAGCGAATTTGCTACGAATTACTCTCCTTTAAAGGCATTCAATATTTTAAACCGGTGAACAAGAATGGGTCGTTATCGAACAGCAAAAAGCGGACGTGAAAGCATAATAAATAATTATAATAGACGATAATTGCTGTCAATCAAGAAGGTGCTTAATTATGTTGAATTCTTTAGGAGTGACCAACTGATAAATGATTCCTAATTACAAACGTTTCAAATTTATCACATTGAATTCGATTAATCTAAATCAGCTGTGTAATTATCACTGTTCTAACAAAGTACTGGAAATATTGCCAGTTCAAAGCACATTCATATCGTCGTAACGATGCATGCATGGCAAGCAACTACATTATTATATTCATCAATTCCTAGTTCGCGAACCCTTACATAAAGAACCTTCTTTGAATTACTAATTCTGTCATGATTATTGAACTAATTGTGAAATCAGAGAATCTCAGTACCACAAAGCTTCAAAAATTGAAAATAGTCGTTCGAGTACACTACTCATCACTCATTCATGCTCAATGATCGTGCGCTAAGTGAAATCAGTGGAACCCTTTCTAGAATCATCCGAACAGTTATGTTGCCCGTTATTATTCACATTCACTCTGAAATTCGCACAGACAAAGAGTTGTGACCGGAGCGGATGAAAGGCATCAAGATCAAAGCAAAAGACGAGTTCAAATGAAACCAAGCAAATGAAAACTACGTGATGGCATTTTATAATCATAAACAACACTCTGAATCTGGTATCAATGCTCGTAAATGTGATAAGACTGCGATTATCAGTCTTATCTCCGCTCTAACAGGTAAACAGTTTGATTCGTTTCGTTTTCATCAGCAAAAACAAGTGAACACAGCGATGAAATAAAAAATATTTGTTATTGCTTAATCAGAAGCAATCACAATATCTCTGATACTGTTAATGATAGATGATTCCCAACGCTATTATCGTTAGCTGCGC